GGGGGGGGGGGGGGGGGGCAGGCAACATAGTCCTTTCCCCCCCCCCCCCTTCTGTGGAAGATTTTTACTCCAGGTCTCAGTTCCCCCCTGAGTATTATGAACTGCAAGAGGTAAAGAAAAACACACGACAGCTGTATGCATCTTGATGCACATTTTTAATAGCCAAGACATGCCGACACGTGACTAATTACATTATCATGTTGTTTTATTTTTTTGATTTTTTTTTTTTTTTTTTTTTTTAAACTTGGTTTCAATAAACTTACAACACATTGCCAACACGCGTGATTTTGAAATGTATGCCCCCCCCTTTTTTTCCCCCTCACCACTGCACGGTGCCTTAAAACGGACATCATTCTCCCCCCCCCATTCCTGCTTGAGGGAAACTACATGGAGTCTAAACTTCTGAGGGGGGACGGTTAAAGCCCCCCCTGGGGTGATTTTCCCAGCTTGAAGGTTCAGCAAAGCAAAGCAGAGTAAGGCAGATGTCCCAGATGAATGCTGAGCCAGTGTTTTGCATCAGGGGGAGGATTAGGGTGGGAATTGATAGGGTGGATCATGACGTTGGTACAGACCAGGAACAGTTATAGCCCAAGAATGAATGTGCTAATCCTGAGAAGTTTTCTCGAGCCAAACAAACCTTCAGGTGGCACTGGAATCGAACCCAGGTCAGTCCAGCCTTCTCTGTTCTTTCTACTTCCGTCCATAACCACGTGCAAGACTTGGGGGTGACTAATAACCATCTTAGGGGATTTAAGTAAAAAAATAAATAATAATCTGTCTTAGATTGAAGGGGAGAGTGGCACCTGGTGCGTTTTGGTTGTTTGTTTTTTCAGAACATAATGTAATAAATGTTTACGAATAACACTACACTGATCTGTGGACTACCCTGATTGCCTGACTCTCCACACTTACAGGGTAAACAAGGTGGTGACGGACTGGCTGTCCTTCGAGTGCCTTCTTAATCTTCCTGATTCGCTTTGAAAATTCCAATTTGACCACTCAACCTTCATCTCTTGGTCTCTGGCTAGTTTGAATCGGTCCGTGTTGTCTCATCTACTGCGGTAGATGTTCCTAGCATCCGCCAGAGGTGAGGAGGTGAGGATCTGCCGTTTCAAAACCCCGGCCACTGGTCCAGAAGCCCGTTCCGGACCAGATGATTCACCTGGAATTGCTACAGTGGGACGTGCGGTGACAGATGGCAGTTACCATGACGACTTGTGGCGTATCCATGCGGTGGCCTTTTTGTGACCAAATGTCAAGATGATCCTCTGGGAAGCAAACGGCTGCGTCGCATGACAATGATTTCAAAGTATCTTCAGAAATTTACTGCCAACAGAGGCTGCATGCAAGGTTTGAAAAGGACAGTAAGCGACTGCATACAGAGGGTGTTCCTCCAGTGATAACAGTGTAACAAAGTGAAACTATTTTTGAAAAGCACAATTTTTAAGCACATGATCTAAACCATATCTGCATTATTTATACACGTATGCTACATGCTAATGCCTAGAAACTGACTGTCCTATTACTAAATCCTCAGAACAGTCATGGAGCTGGTCTTCATCGCTGTTGAAGGGCTGCAAAGTGAAAGCATCTGCACTTACTAAGCAATAATATGAGAGCTTCCATTCATAACCCAAACCAGAAACCCTTACCGCCCGGCTCCACTAGGGGGCTCACGTTAGTAATCGACACAGTCATTCTGACCAAGACCTACATTTCCTGAGGATTTAGGACTACTTGATAAGGAAATACACAGCGAACATCTAGCGAAACCTTAACGGTAATCCTGGGTGTGATCTCAACGAAATACGTGCAATTTTAGTCTCTGCTGGTCAGACGCTCAGCGGCGGGTATGTTCCACACAAAGCAAACAGCAGTAATGCTGTTGTAAACATAGCTTATACCTGCTCTACGAAAAGTCAACTAGGGCATAAAATTCAATTTGGTTTTCAGTAATACAAGGAATTTTGGAGAGCTTAACTGGAGTTTTAGATTTTGTTAGGCTGTTGGTAGCTTAATGCCTAAACCTAATAATGAATAGTCTGTATTGAAAGGTGCTATTTTCTATAATGGTTTATCCGCCGCAAGGTCGCTCCGAGTCTGGAGCCTGTCTCAGAAAACATGGGGACACCTAAGGTGGGACACCAGTCCAAACTGTAGCAGCTGACATAAAATAATGAAGATTGTGGCTAAGGAATCGGGAATATGTCCCTGTTTGTATGCCCTGTGAAACATTCAGACTATATCAGGGATTGCAAATATCCCAAAACAGATAGATGGATGGATGGATGGCACACACACACACACACACATATATATATATGTATGTGTGTATGTGTTTGGATTATGTTTGCATTGCATTGTGGGGACCAAAGTTGGGCTGAGTAGGGGTTAAGGGCATCGTGTTAGGATTAGAGTTTTCCCCATAGAAATGAATGGAGAGTCCCCACAAAAACAAACCTGGGTGTGGGTGTGTCTGTATGTATGTCTAGTCTGTTTGCTAAGCTGTTGTTGAGTTTTGCCATAATAATGCATGCACACACACACACACACACACACACACATATATATATATATATATACACACACACACAGGCAATAGTAACAATGATCAAGGATAATAATAATAATGAATAATGATGATGAAAGGTAAGGTACTGAGAATACTATACTAGTCACTAAAGAGTAACTATTTAGTGGTGCAGTATTTTCCAGTGGATGCAGTGGTAGGGCAAGTGCAAGGGAATGTGCAAGAAACACGGAAAATCTAAATGTTACAATACAATAATACTAAACATACTGTATTATAATAAGTACAACAAATACTACAGCACTATAAATGAGATTCTGACCTGTTTGTCTCAAGAGTAAAATTAGTAATTATACTACTAATTGATTTCAAATTGTGTTTTGGACCTGTGCTGTTCCATGGCCATAACCAGCAGAAATCTCATTACGGTCTTCCCTTATGTCATACTAGAGTACATAATTTTCAGTAAAATGTTTTATCATGCTGTACGGTTTAATAGAGTCTTGATTCACGGCATTCTGTTAAATTTGTAGCATATTATCTCTTTGACGTTAGTGGAATGGGGCCCTAGATTTGCCACTTGAGGATAATAAATAACATATTCTTAAGCACCAAGGCTAACCGGTAATTCCTTTAACAGGCCTTGGTTTGGTGTGCTGTTTCACTTTGGGCCGCTAGAGGGCAATGTGGATCAATGTATCCTGAAGCGTAGCATGGAGGAGGTGAGATCCGAAGGAGTTGTGCATTATATTTGAGATTGCGTATTTGGGGCTGCCACATTCTGCTTGCCGACACCATTAATATTTGTTCTGTCGGTTCTGGAAAACCAAGAATATTTTAAAATCAGCTAGACAGCCTTTCAAAAAGCAGGACTATAGAGGATGCTGTCGGGTTAAATCTGTACTCTGGAGTTCTTCTCTTCACTTTCATTACGCCTCTTCTCAGACTCCTTCACTTTAGATACATGTCATCTATTACCCAAACAACCTGCAGTGGCACTACGAGACCGGCAGATGGGTCCACGTCCCTTCGATCCGCTTCTATTATGGGCGGTACCTGGTGGATTTCGTCATGGAGTCTTCTTTCAAGGTGCTAATTGTCGCTCCCCCTACACCCTGGGTTTTCACCCTGATTAGGAGGGTGTCGGAATTTTGGTTCTTAGGATACTCCTCACACATACAATAACAATGAAGTATTTAGTTTTAAAAGTATTTAGTTTGAAAAGTATTTATTTTACTGCGATAGGTTGGCGCTCTTTCCTGCTCCAGCAACCCCGGGAGAACCTCCACACCCCCACAACCTTGAATAGGACAAACGGGTATAGTAAACGGATGGATGGTACTAATTTTAAATTATGTTCGATTGTTGAGTTGTATACATAACCCATTTGCTTGATGCTTGAAAACTCAAACAGGAGGCTGACATGCTAATGAATTTATCATCTGGCCTCACCAGTAGAAATGGTGAAACTATTACCAATGATGTATCGATCCGGCAGCCTGACCGACACAGGCTGAAATACACGTCAATTTAGATGCCTTTAAATAGACATGCATTTCGACCCCTATCTATCACGCTGGACAGAAGCACTCATGGTAAATACTTGCGGCTCTCCACCCTTTTCAGGCCAAATTACCACTTAAAGTACTCAAACGATTTTGCTAATTGATCCAGTCCAGTGTCCCCCGCTGCCCACCCCGTACCGGAGATGTTCGCGGCTTGTGAGAGCCATCAGACGTGCACAAAACGGCATAGCTACGATCGGGACCTGCGAGTGTTCAGTGAAATTCTGCCAAGGATTATCATCACACAAAGGCAAGTCTTTAAGTCAGTCATACAGACCAACAAAGGTCATGATTGCTTCACTCTTCTCCAGCTGTTCAGCGCTTTATTGTGGCTTTTAAATGCCTCATTCCTGTCTACAGTGAGACTTATTCACTTGCGGTCTTTGGAAACGTCATACAAAAGCGGCTTTGCTCCTGGGCCAAATTGCATGTAAAACATTCTCAATGGGTGGTTTCACTGTCCTGGAAATAGTCACGTGATAGGCCGTCTTCCTGTCCAGAGGGAGAAAAGATTAAAGTGTTTACAACCACATTAATCTGGGTGAGGTCCAGGTCCGTAAGGCATTTTTTCACTTCTCGTCTTTGTGTCACTGAAACACAGTCAATAATATCAATGCTCGCGGCCATATTTTACCCATTCAAACATCCACCGCAAATTTTACACAATAAAAATCTCACATACAGCAATGTTCACACAGACTAACACCCTCCACACTAAGAATAGCGGCCATTATACAGCTTTGACACACGTGTAAAACGTTTCTACAGAGAACCAAACTATCTGATCGCAGATATTTCTACAAGCTACACGAGCATAACAATACGTCCGTTTTCATTGTAATCACACTCTCTCCTGAGACGAACATTCTGGAGCACCTCCTGTGAAAGAACATGTTGAATCTGAGGGTGTTTCGAAAGCCTGACTTTGATGCCAGTTTTACTGCATACATACCCTAAAGGGGCCTCTGGCCAAAAAAAAAAAAAAATTAACAATGAAATATCCAGTCATCTCATGCTTATGGCACATGAAGGAATTTGACCCTTTGCAGCTTATGAAAACACATTACCTTTCATGGTAAACGGTTTCTAAATTTGGACGCGCCATGGTGCCTGCTAGCAATCACCGGAATGTTCTCAAATGGAGCAATGGTGGATGCTTCAGCCAATTTTCCTTGGAAGAACACGACGTATCCATCACTCGAGCATCGGTAAACGTACATGCTGTGGGGGCACTGACAGGGCGTGGGGGCAGAAAGGGAAGTTCTCTGTTTCTGGTGACAAGGATGTGGCAATGCTCTGCGACATGCCAACGCAGGTCCTCAGAGAAGAGTTAGCTGTCAGAGGCTGTTACACACTGTCAGAAACCAAGATCTGAACGCTGAAATATAACAATTCTGTCAAGAGGTCTCCAATTCAGGTGACAAGGTGAAAAATCTGGAACAGTCTGAATTTGTGCTGCAATCACTATTCAGTTTTTCTTCTGGGCTCCTGCTGTCTATCAGTCTACTGTCTGTCAGTCTGTTAAACACATTTATTTTGCCCATTACCGTCAGCCATCGATGTTGCTGGCAAATCTAACGAGGACCTGGCACATGACACGTTCTTCTAGCTGATTTTTGATACATTGCAGAGCTCACTGGGGAAGGGATGCTTCAGCTCTGGTTCCCGTGAGCCACAGGAAGTGCAACTATAAAACCCCAAGCATTTCAGGTGTTAATAAATTAGTATCAAAGCAAAATGTTTGTGTAATTACATGGCCCCCTTCAACACTGACACTGACACACTTTAACTCTCTTAGGAAACTTGTGGTACATATATCTCCTTTTGGTAAATCCTTTTGCAGTTGTACAGAACAGAAACATGTTTAACTAGTGGGTAGGGTCCACCTCAAAAGTGTTTTGGATGAGTCTCAAAACTGTCACTTAATGACCACAAGAGGTCAGTAGAGAGGAAGAAGTGAAGATCTTCTATGAGCCCAAACACTCCTTCCTCTCACTGTATAGCTCTTGGGGAAATTATCCTGTTTCTCTAAAACATTTACATAAATGTCAAAAGAAATTGTCCACTGACACAGATGTGCTACCGGCCACCTGTTTCCGATGCAAGTGACGACAGCCGTTTCGATGAAATACGCCCACCACGGGAAAAAACATTGCAAGAACTTCCTGTTTACATAGCAGTGCCCTCTCCAAATTCCCCTGGAAAGAGCTTTTACTATTGCTCGGCAGAGTTTATAGAGACAGAGCACACTGTTGTGCCCCCTGAGGTGGGATGACCCAACTGCAACCGACAAAACTCCCCAATAATAAAAATCCAAAAACGATGGATCGATGTGCTCAAACAAACCACATATGTCACTTGTTGCATTTGTGGAAAAAAAAATGTCCCCTCGCTAGAAGTTATGAACAGCAGGCAGTTCTGGGTAAGATTGACAGAAGGATCCGGAAAAACATATAGAGACAGAGAGCATGACAGTATTTGGGATTATACATACTCACTTATACATACTCAGCTATACATACTCACTTATACATACTCAGCTATACATACTCACTTATACATACTCAGCTATACATACTCNACATACTCACTTATACATACTCAGCTATACATACTCACTTATACATACTCAGCTATACATACTCACTTATACATACTCAGCTATACATACTCACTGGATGCATGTGGGTCTATGGAGAAGTTTCACCTCTTAAAAAATAGAGCAAAGCTGAACCTGGACCAAATAAAACATCTTTCATACCCAGAGTGGGAGCCTAAGACTTTATAACATTCAAAAACACCTTTATCAACATCTTCAAGATTTCATCAGTGTTTCACTAGGACCCAGAAGCCCTTAATTCATAGCACCCTCCCCACACACACACACACACACACACACACACACACAAGCCTCTGCCAGCTGGAAAAATACTTCCCAGCAACGCTGTAACGAGAGCAATTATTTTTTAGTATTTACTGAAGTTTTCTTTTCATTAATTATTAAGCACGATCAAGATAATTGGCTTAAAATATTGATAATGTAAGAGCAGCCAGGCCTTTCTGAAAGGTATTACACGTTGCCTCAGACATGAGATCTGTGTTTCAAGGCAAAACTGTAAAAATGGTTCTACGTAGTTTGGCTAAAGGAAAGCTCTGGTAAGGAGTAATGCTTGGATTGGAGGTGAACAGAGACTTCCATATCACTGAAAATGACAAAAGTGAAAGTTCATTCTTAATCCACATGTTTCTTCTGGTGATAAAATAATAGTGCTGGTAAAGTTTGCACCGAAGCTGTTTGGGTTTATCATCGACATTCGCAAATTCCAACAACTTCTTTCAGTGGTTCAGGTGACCTGCTGCTTTGTAATATGCGATGAATCAAATTCTGTGCCCCTGTGGGTGGTCTCTGGGAGTCAGACCCTGATTTGGGTATATACAAGGGCGGGGCACCAGGGGCACCGACCTCAGCTGAAAGATGATTGGCCCACACAGTGCCCTCTCCCTGTCAGTCACCGATTCAAAACATATCATTGGCTAATCATTAGGTTGGCCCCTCTGTATGAGTTATGGCCCCTCTTATTAGCCACCCCCTCCCACTTGAAGAAACTCTAGCTGAAATGAAAAGCCCGAGTGAG